TTTATAGCTAAATGGATGCACATTGAGGCCATACTCTTAAGTGAAATAAATAGGACACACATGTGTAAATACCAAATAGTTTCTCTGGTGTGAAAAAGTAAAAGTGTAAATAAGGATCAAAATGTATAATTGATAATGTGAAATAGGAAGAAAAGGTCTAAAGGAGTAGGGTAAGTGGGAGGGGTAGGGGAAAGGAAAGAAGGGAAAAGAAAAAAATATGAGAAAAGGAAAAAAATGGAAAGAAAGTCTTTGTAAATAGGGAAGGGTGGAGGGGTGAAGGGAGGGCAGGGGAATGGGGAAAAAACAAGGACCAAGATACATCATGTAAAATGTACAAGTTCCCAAAGATGAGTGTAACAGTATTTTATACCTAAAATGTACCAATAAACTTAATGAAAAAAAAAAGAAGAAATAAAACTGTTTCTCAAGCCCAAGAGAATTTTCTGGGCACTAGCCCCCTCTCAGTCACCGGCTTTAATAAATTGACTCAAATCTGACACAGAGTGTGGCACGTCTCTATTGTTCTAACTTGTTCAGGTAGAATAGCACAACCCTTGTCTGAACCATCATTGGCATCTCTTTCCTGGACAGCAATTTTGCTTCCTCACCTTCTCACTAATTTTCTAATTCCACCTTTGTCTTCCTCTCTTCCTTCTCCTTTTCTCTCCCCTTCTCCTGATTCTGATTCTGATTCTTCTTATTAAGTCTTGCTATGTAGCCCAGGCTGACTTCAAACTGTTGATCTTCCTGCCTTTGCCTCCTGAATGATGGAATTACAGGAATGCACTGCTACAACCACTTCCTTCCATTGTTCTACAGCTTGTGAGTAACACAGCCACCAGAACAATCCTTTTTGGTTAGTGAGGGTGGTGGGAATTGAATCCACAGCCTTCACACTGAGCCACATCTCCAGAACTTTGTATTTTGAAACAGGTTCTCTAGTACCCAGGCTGGACTGGCCCTTGTGACCCCGAGTCCTGGGATTTCTGGTGTGTGCTACCACACCTGGTTCAGAGTAATCCTTTTAAGTGTAGGTGATTTCATGTCACTCCTGCTCTGCTTCCACTTTCCTCCAAGTAAAAGCCTAAGTCCCTACAGTGACCTCCTACAGTGCTACAGAATCAGGTTCCCAACCAATTATCTCTCTGACCTCATCTCTTGCCACTGCTCCCCCTGCTCATTCTGTTCCATTCACAGTGGCTGCATTGCTGTTTCCCAAACAGATTAATTATGTTTCCAGTTTAGGACCTTGGTACTGGTTCCTTCTGCCTCTAACAGTTCCCATAGAGAGCCCCATGGAAGTCCCCTCACCTCCTTCAAGTCTTGCTCAAATGTTACCTTTTCAATGAGGACACCCGGATCACCTGGGTTAAAACTATAGCCCATATGCAACAACCCATGTACAGTTCCCACCTTCTACTCCCTGTCCCCATTTACCTAACCTAATTACTTTGTAAAGCTTGTCATATTTTAAGATATTATTCATACATATGTTCATTGTTTATTGTCTCTTTGCCCCTACTAGTATGTAACTTCTCTTGTTCACTGCTAAACATGCAGACCCCCTAGAACAACCTCCGTTTCATGGAATGTATTTGTATTAGTTTGCTGTGGAAGTCGTAAACAAATTACCATACACTTGGTAGCCTGAAGTAGCAGAAATGTACCCTCTCACAGTTCTGGATGCCAGAAGTCTGAAATCAAAGTATTGACAGCAGCACACTACTCAAGAGGCTCTAGGAGGAAATGTTCCTGTGTCTTGTGCTTTCTATCACTGCCTGGCATTCCTCAGCTTCCCTGAGCTTGTGGCTGCATCACTCCAGTCCCTGTCTCCATCTTCACATCACCTCCTACTCTCTGGGTTTGTGTCTTCTGTCTCTTCTGATCCTAGTTGTTCAATTTAGGGCTCACCTGTACAACTGAAATCCTTAACTTAATCACATATGCAAAGACTCTTTTTTTCCCCCCAAATAAGGATGCATTCACCAGATTCCCAAGAATAAGGACATGGGACATACACTTTTGGGAGCCACCACTGAACTGACTACAGCAAACTGTTATTAAATGAATGGTTTTTTTCTCAAAGCTAAACTTCAACTGATTTTCTACCCTCTTCTTGATGTGGTTCTGTTCCAGTTCACATATAATAGACACTGCTAACCTGGCATTGATTTTGCTATGGTTTGACCTCAGTGCCTCATGGGACAGGTTTTGTCTCTGGAAAATACCCTTCACAAATGCACACAACGAAAAACAACAACAAAAACCAGAAGCAAGCAAAATAAAGAAAGATTGCAGAAAGCTATACTTAAGCTGAAGAATAATAAAGAAAAATAGAAGAATTCAGATCAAAATTGAAGAAAACTGAATGGGGAGACCAAATTGTAGTGAAAGCATGAAAAAGAATGAGGGAGTTCCTCACAGTGGGTGAACAATTGGACAATATGCTAGAGCAGAGGACGTCCTAACCCTGAGGGCAAATCTTCTGTCAGAAGGGAAAAGTAGGATCAAGACCAAGGAATGAAAACAGAGAATAAGGTCAGAAAGCTCGTGAGAAATGAAGTTTGGTTTGAAAGTGGGGAAGCAACCTCTCCATAAGAGAAGAGCAACATCAAGAGGAAGTTTCTCAAGGAAAAGACCTCAAATCAGAGGATGGCCAGATGAGGTTAATCTGCAGTAGCTCTGTCACGGCCACCTGGCTTCCCTAATAAACCCTCACTTCCACCCCAGAGCTATCAGCTCTGAACCACAGCACCTTATTTCCAGTACTGTCTCACGGGAGCTTCCTCATTCAGTACTATCTCACAGGACCTTTCACAGCCTTCATTGATCACTCAGACTCATTACATGTTGAGCCCTCATGTCTATCCCTCTTTGCCTGGTAAGATGTACAAGTCAAAACACCTTGAAGGCTCTGACCAAGGCAAAAATAGTACTTTGATGTTGATTGCATGGTGCAAAGAGTTTGAGAGCCCTCAGCTCCCAGCAGATCTTTAGCAGCTGGAGTCACAGCCTGGCCTCTTACCCCTCCCAACACTCCAGTTCCAGGAAGCAAGGACAGTGGGAAACAAGGCTATGAGAAAAATATACCTGAAAGCACCAGGGCATAGTTGCCCTTCTCCATCCCATCATCTTCATTCTTCCTGGGTGTTAACCCTTAGAACACCATTCTCAGGGGATTGTTAACTATTTGGCCTTTCTACACCAAGTTACTTACTGCAATTCAATGTGTTTAGGTATAAAAGAAAATAAAATTAGTGGCTATCTTCTTGACTTCTTCTGGAGCACATTAGATTAGATTCTACCCTGCTCCTAGTATGGACAATTCCTCTAATTACTGACTCTCACAAAGAAACACAAAGAGGAAAGTTTGGTAGATTTTGATTTCTTTCTGTTTTCTCTTTATTTTGATTCACCTAAGTATATCCCTCATCTCACAAACGGATCCTCAGGATATCTATCTTTACCCCCATTTTAACAACAAAGTCAGAGATGTTGCCAGCATTTTTCCAGTAGAGGAAAAAGCTGAACAACCACTTTAAAAAGATCTCTGAGATTTGAAAATAAGTAAGGTAAAGCAAGCTGCTACCTCCAAAAGCAGCATCAGTGGCCATGGATTATGGAGCCCAGAAATTCTCTGAGTGTAGAGCAAAAGAGAAATAAAACCTAAGGGAGTGAGAAGCTGAATGTTGGAGAATGATCATTTGTAAACCACAGTTGTGCCGACTCCTATTTCATTTTTCTTTCGGTTTCTCTTCTTCACTCTGCGGCTTCAATCTGTGAAATACAGGCAAAGAGAGAACTGACCATGAAAACTGCCATGACTCATCAGTGGATATCGATGTGTCTCACAGCTGCAAGTCACTTCCTACCCACTTGGAGGTCTAAGGTTTTCCCTTTCTACCACCCCAGCCATCTCTGCAGTACTATTAAATTAGTCCCAGAATTTGCAAGAAAGCAATGGGTCTTGAGAATAGAATGAAAATGTAGGGTCATCATATGCAAAGTCCTATATAAGAGATGTAAAACATGAAGCCAGATTCCTGGGGCATACTGAGTTGTAATAGGAAGTTGAATAGCCCTTTATTAGCTTTCTTTTCCCTTCATCTCTGACAAAAATAGATGGTGTTCTTCAAAGCAAATTGAATTCTCTATTATTTTCTAATTACTGTTGTTTTCTAACATTAATTAATGTTCTGTAACTTATTTACCTCATCTTTCAACCATCTTCATATTTTTTCTTGCCAGTACTGGGGATTGAACCCAGGACTTTAGCACTGAGCTACATCACCAGCTGTTTTTAGAAATATTTTTTCCTTTGAAATGGGTTCTCATTAAGTCCTTAAGTTGCCTAGTATTAGTATGACCTTGGGGTCCTCCTGCTTCAGTCTCCCAGAGTGTTAAGACTGTAGGTTTGCACCACAAAATCCATCTTGTTCTATGCTTCTTTATGCTATGGGCTTCTTCAGCAAGTCTTTCTTTTACATAAAATGTTTCTCTAATTCTAAGACAGGTTTTTACTTGTCACATCTCTGAAGTCAGGATGCATCTTACAATAGTGATGTGTCCTAGGATGGTTTGTACTTTTTAGCAGTAAATAAATAGTGCATTTCACCATTTATAACATTTTAGATTTGATAAAAAGCAATATTTGGGCAAGAACAATAAATTCTGGCTATCAGAAGCATGGGATTATAGTATTAGAAGGATCTGAGAGCAACATTTGTGACTGAGAAATGGAATGCTATAATTTATCAGTATTTGCCTTCACAAAATAGGAGAACAATGAAGTAGTTTAAAGAATCTTAAGCCAGGCATGGTTTTACATGCCTGTAATCTCAGTACTCTGGGAGGCTGAGGCAGGACAATCACAAACTCAGCCTCAGCAATTTAGTAACATAGTAGGACCCTGTCTCAACATAAAAAATAAAAAAGGACTGGGAATGCAGCTTAGTGGCCTTGGGTTCAATCTTCAGTAACACACACACAAACACAGACACACACACACACACACACATGTACACACACACACACACAGGGGCTTTAGAAAGAAGAATCTTATGGTTTGAGTATGCAAGTTTAAATTAAAGAAGCAGCACCTTTCTTTTGGGAGAAAAAAGATGGGTTTTAGAAGCTAAATGAACCCAAGGAAATTCAGAGGAACAAAGAGCAAAAATCACCTAACCAAAACAGAAGGTACAAAAGTTATTGCCTCCACTGCATCAAGCAATGAAAATGTTTACTATCTGGAGATGAAAATGTAACTTTTAGAAAATTTCCAGCCTACCTTAGGCAGACAAAGGAGTCTTAATAAAAATAGAGCCAAGGAGCCAAGTAAAGTTCACCCAGGCATCTTAGCCAGTGTGGTGAGTTAATGGTAAAGATCTATACTTGGACATTCTTCCCTTGGGGTGAGAGAAGAGAGCAATTTGACCAAATAAGTCAGGGAAATGTAAATGATTTTATTTGACGCAGTAGAGTTTAAACATGGGCAGTCATCTATTGCTACTCCCTATTCTGGAACAAGGGGTCACTTCAGAGACTATTAAGATACATTCATATCGGATTGAGTAGTGCACTGTGTAACTTGTATGGATGTTCCTCTAAAGACAACAGCTAGCATTGGAAAGTCACACCTTGCAATTCAAGAGTTCCAGTAGTGCTTATGATTTTATCAGAAGAAGTAAGGATTTAGTTCTATATAAGCACAACTGCAGCAAAATATTTATTTGGCCAAGGTACATGATATGAATATAAGACTGGTAAAATTAAGAGAACATAAGCAACATTATACTGAGTTTGAACAGTAGTACCATCAGGCCCTAATAACTTTTGTGGAGGGGACAAAATTACCCTCCACAATGGCATCTCAAACTACTAAAAGTATACCTAAATATCCAGGTACAGTATGGTATATGTCCATTTTCCCAGGACGCTGGGACGCTCGGGCAGGAACATTGCTAGTTTGAGTCTAGCCTGGGCAATTTAGCAAGACTTTGTTTTAAAATAAAAACTAAAGGGTTAGGGATTTACCTCAGTAGTTGCTCCACCTGCCTCACAAGCCCAAGGTACCAAGTTTGATCCCTTGTACCAAAAAATAAATAAATAAATAAATAAATAAATAAATAAATACTAAAAAGGGCTGGATATATATCTCAGTGTGAAGACTCAGGGTTCAATCTCAAACACTGAATGAATAAATGAATGAATGAATGAATAAATAATTACCTAAATAGCCTAAGTTAATGAATACCTTACTTATATGGTTTCCATTACTTTTCCTAACTTGCAGTTACTTAGTTATGTTTCCAACTACAACAATAGTACCTTCCTCATACGTAGCATATGGAAGTTATCCCTCTTTATTTTAGATACAAAGACTCTCTTTTCAGTCAAATTAAAATATGTGTTTTTAGCCACCCTTCACAGAAAGAGCAGTCATTTTTTTTTTGCAATGTGTTAGGTTTCTTTTTCCTAGTTATGGGTTTAGAGAATGTGTTTGATGTAACAATCAATATTCGGAATTATAGGTTGTATTGTGCAGCAGTTAAAGGTAAACATTCCATGGTCAGACAACCTGGGTTTGAAAGTTGGCTCCACTAGCTTCCAGATGTATGACCTTGGGAATTTTATCTTTCTGTGTCTTGTGTTTTACTTTTTTTCAACTAGAAAGCATTTTCAAACAAGTCTGCAGGCCTCTGAGAATTCTCAAAGGTGTTCCAGAGGTTTGTGATTACAAGGGTGTTAATGGAGTCTATTTTAATTTCTACCCATATGCAATTCAACCATGCTTCTGTGCAAAACCTGAGAACCTCCAAATACACTGACTGATATAACTGGCATATAGTCAATCACCCCAAACAACACAAAGATTGTAGAGTTTAACACTAAACAGTTCTAAAGTATTAATTATTTTAAGTAATATTTTATCTAGTTATATCCATAATAAAATAAGAAGCACTGATGTTGAAATTCCACTTCATAAACAGTATATGAGTGGTAATTCTGTGAGTTTACCTCAAGATAATCTTCATTAGATTCTATAAATGACACTCATCTGATAAAAGTATTATTTATTACACCAAATTGTCTCTAGAATGTTAAACATCAATGTCAAATAAAATTGTAATGATGTTATAGATAGTTTTTAAAATTGGAAATAAGGACTATCATATTTGCAATAGGTTATTTTCAGAGTGAAGCTTGCAAATGAACCAAATCTTCTATCTTTTCACTCTCCTGACATTTAAAATAAAAATATGAAAATTTAAAAAATAAGTCAATTTATGTTTAAAGTGCAAAACAGAATTACCAGTGTCCAGATATGAAAGTAGATCCTTTTCTTTTTTCTTCTTCCTCTCCCTTCTCTCTCTCTCTCTCTCATAAGAAATTGAATATTGAATCCAGGGTCTTTCCAGAGCCTTTGCATTGAGCTAAATCTCAGTCCTCTTCTTTAAAAATTAATTTTACTGGTACATTTTAGGTATACAATATAATGACATTGATCACTGGAAATTTGCACCTTTACATAATCTTTCTTGGTTCTTATTTTTTCCCTGTTCTTTTTTTGAGACAGGGATTCACTAAGTCACCTGGGCTGGGCAGGAACTTCAGATCTTCTTGCCTCTTGGCTAGAATACTAAGATTATAGACATGTACAACCATGTCTGTATTTCTCTTGTTTTTGTTTTGGGAAATAGGGTCTCACCATGTTTTTTACTTTTTATTTTGAGATAGGATCTTTTAAAGTCAACAAGTTAACCAAATTGGCCTTGAATTCACAATCCTCCTTTCTCAGCCTTCCAATGTACCTGGATTACAGGTGTGTGCTACCAAATCCAGCATCATATACTTTATGAGCAACATGAATAACTTGCTAAATATCAAAAATAAAAATTTACTTGCATATCACATGATTATCAGTATTATATAATAGTAAGCATAAAAATACAATATTTAATAACATGCTTGTCAGAAATAGTTTTACTTCACTTTCTTCATGTCACTTAAAATAATGAAATAATTAACATACCTAAGGAGGTTCCTTAATATTATATGTGTATTACTAGGAAACAAAATACATGACAAAAAAGGAAAGGTTTGATACAGAGAACTGTTAATTGCTTTTTTTCCTACCAATAACATTCATTGTGAACTGGAAAAACAAATTTAAGCCTAAACAAAGCTTTAATGTATATCTTTATTTGAAATAGTTTGTTCAAAAAATCTGTTAATCACAGATAACTGCCCTCCGTGAAATCCTTCTTGCCTTAATGCCATGAAAATTTGCTTAGTAAAGCAGAATTTTGAGCTGGGGGTTTAGTTCAGTAGTAGAGCACATGTTTAGCATATGCAAGGCACTGGGTTTAATCCTCAGAATAGGAAAGGAGAAACAGAAAACAGACAGAAAAACAAAGAAACAAAAAGCAGAACAAGGCAATTTTCACCTTACCAGGTAATTCTCAGTCTGATAATCCACCAATCATCTGGCATAGTAATGGTTAGTCCTGCTCCATTCTGACTTGTCTGTTAGATCTCAGGCATCCTGTACACTTACAGTTACTTGTCTGTCTTTATCCATGGTTTTGCTTTCTTCAGTTTCAGCTGCCCACAGTCTACCATGATCCAAAATTAAATGGAAAATTCTAGAAATAAACAATTCACAAGTTTTATATTGTTGCTGTTCTGAGAAACAAAATGAGATCTCAGGATCCACTTTGTCCCACTCAGGATATGGCTCACTCCTTTTTTCAGTGTGTCTACACTGCATGCACTACCCACCCATCTATCAGTAGTTGGCTCAGTGACCACATCTACCATGAAGGCACTGCAGTGCTCATGATGAGTGACCCTTACTTTATTTAATCATGGCCTCTACACTCAGGAGCAGTGCTATCAGCAGTTCTATTACAGTATATTATTGGGGATCCCTGATATATTACCAAAACTCTTTGCAGTAGGATCCAGTCTCCTGAGAAGTGTATGACGCAGGCCTGAGAAAAAAAATCTAAAAGACAGAACTAAAAGAGACAGAAAGTGGGGCTCCAGGACGACCAATGCCTGTGCAACCAACAAAGGTTCTGGCCAGTCCAAGTCACTGATTTTTATTGGTAATCAGTTAGGGTAAAGGCGAGCTATGTGCAAGGGCAGAACTACATGGGAGGATGTATAGTCCTGTGGTTTCTATGGAAACTAATACAGACAAAGCATTTTCAAATTAGGAACAGAATAGACAAAACATATGGTTGTAATCAGAACATTGTCCTTCTAGTTAAGAAAGTTTTAATCCTGGGAATGGAATTTGGGCGCGGGTTACTCTGACCTTGGCACATAGGCTTTGACCAGACTCAGTTCTATAAACAAGCCAATTGTGGGGTTAACTTCACAGCCTACACTGCTTACAGCCTGCTTTGGGCATAATTAATATTGCAGTCTCCCACAGTATATTGGTATACTAATTATTCTATTTTAAAATGTGGTGCTGGGGATCAAGCCCAACACCTTGTGTATGCTAGGCAAATACTACACCTGTAAGCTACATCCCCAGTTTGCTGTTATAATTACTGCTATATTATTAGCTATTGTTAATCTTATTTTGCCTAATTCATAAATTAAACTTTGTCATAGGTATGTATACATGTGGGAAAACATAGTAAAGAAAGGCTTGGTACTGTTTGCAGTTTCAGGCACTCACTGAGAACTTTGAACAATGTTCCCTTGATGGTGGGGGTAGAGTTAGGGAGTACTCTATCTGCTGTTCACTTCATTCCAAGCTGAAGACTATGTCCCTAAGCCTGCAAGGTAAATACATGTCAGCAATCATACTGGAAACAGGGAACTGTGTGTGGCTTAGTTCGAAATCTATACCACGACAGGGAGGAAATAAAAACACCTCAAAGTATATATAGTATACACTGTAGTAGGTCAGTGACATCAATTATTGTTGATTGTTTAAATAACTTTTTCCTGAAACAGTGGGGATGAAACGAGTACTTCTGCTATTCTTTCATCCTTTCTGAGCAGCTTGTTTGAGGCGACAATCAGAGTTCACTTATTGTCTAGATGTCCTTCTGTTTTTAATATACTTCATCTAATCTATGATTTGATTTAGATTCATTTATTCTCTAGCTTTTTGGCTCACCTGCTATCTTAGTTATCCCTAACTCTACATACTTTGTGAGCTTTTAAAATTCATACTTAAATAATCTTTCTAAATAAACTTATAACATGCAAATACTGGATCATTTACTGATAAGCACCAGTATCTTTAATACAAAATGTACAGTGGTAGAGCAATTGCTTAGCACGTGAAAGGTCCTGGTTTCAATTCCCAGCACAGTGAGGGGAAAAGGCTCAAACATCAACAGGGAGATATCATTGATCTTCCAATCTCTAGCTGCAGTTTTGTTGTCTTGGCGTATATTACATCCTATTTCTTACTGTCTAGACTACACTGTATCTACTCTAGGGTACTCTTGAGAGCCTCTCAAATGCTCCTAGCTCTTAGCATTTGCCCAAATCCCACTCCAGAAAGCTTAATGTAATTATCCTACAATTATCACAAATCAAAAGATATTAAAAAATGTAAAATAAGCAGATTTGAAGAAAAATACCTCCCATTCATTTCTCCTTTTACTCAATGTCCATTCTTACCTTATTCAACTATCCAGATGATCATATTCAAAACAATGAGGAAGATGATGAAATTTTTATAGAGAAGGTCTGTTTTCTCTTAAGGAAACATACAGAATGTAGTTCTTTCTGATTTGCGCAGCTTAAATAATAAGGGCAAAAATATAAGCCAAAGCAAGAAGTCCTGTATTCTACCCCAGCACCTCAAAAAGAAAAAGGAAAGGAAAGGAATGAAAGGAAGGGAGGGAGGGAGGGAGGAGGGAGGGAAGGAGAGAGAGAGAGAGAGGGAGAGGGATGTATAGAATATAATTTATGAAAATACAAAGAAAATGAGAATTTAGGAGGGGAAAAATAAGTCATCAGGTAGATGAGGAACAGTGAACCACCTTAGACAAAGATGGAGCATATACTCAGTAATCCATTTAGCCCATAGAGAAAGAGGTGGCTTATGAGTGCAACAAACATAAAGCCTACTCAACATTTTCTGAATGTGTGAAATTTGCTCTTCATATTGAGGCTTTATGGAGAAGTGAGGGGCACTAGCTGGAGTTGGTCTCCCAATATAAGTGTTTTCTGACAGGAAGAATCTAAAATAAAAATTTTAAAAAGGACAGTGCTTGACTACTGTCCCAGGTACTCAGGATGCTGAGGCAGGAGGATCAGAAGTTCAAGCCCAACCTGGACAACTTAGTGAGAACTTCTCTCAAAATAAAAACTAAAACATGGCTAGAGATGTACCTCAGTGTGAAGGCCCTGGGTTCAATCCCACTAATACACAGACATACACACATCATTTTATTTAAAACAAAACCCTTGAAATGATTTATTAATCAGAATCCTTCAGAATTGGTTTGTGGGAGGATTTTGGAAAGGATTGGAGATACAGACTGGAAAATCCTTAGACTACTGTAAGCTGTGTGAGTAGAGATTGATGGAAGATTCTGGTCAGAGGTCAGAAGAACAGAATTCTGATAGAAAAATGGACAATAAAGGCAAGGCTCAGAAAAGTTCAGTTGGGAAAAACAAAAATCCATTGGGAGTGTGATGACAGACCATGTGTATTACACCTAGGCAGAAAATTTAATTCCCCTCATATCCTGAAACTTTCCAGGAGACTGAGATTAAGGATAGTGGACTAATTAATCTGGCAGAGGAAATTTCCAAGCAGCCCAATATTCAAGCTGTGGTATGGGTACTGATGGCTACTGTCAGCCAGACATACAGTGAAAATTAGAAGCAAAAAGCCAACATGAAGCTTTCAGTTTCATCAGAACAGAAGTTCCTGCAAAGTTGAGGCTATGGAGAGCATTGTTGCTTAAATGATTATCATTAAAAAGAAGCCAAGTACTTTGCATTAGCACAATAGGAAACATGGATTGAAAGCATCTCAGAAATTGACCAGATCTCACCCTTTGCGGGCTTAAGGGTGCAAAACTCTAAAGCTTATATTCAAGAAGAGAGCTCCTGTGCACCCTGATAGAGAAGGACTGCCCAGGGAATCAGTTCCTTGGGATTTATTTCATAATGATCAGCCGTCTAGTCACTCAGAGGCCTCTGGTGTCATGATCCAAGGAGGCTTAACTTCTTCCTAGTGGCAGACACTGGCATCATACATATGGTGCTGGTTTTCTAGATGTGCAGAATGCTGCAGTTATGGAGTTAGGATTGCTTCTACCAAAATTTCAGAAGGCCTAGGAGGCAAGGCAATGTGTCCTTGAGAGGGTAGTATGTGAAGCTATGAGAATAAAGATAAAGGTGTGGTGAAGGGTCCAAGAATTTAGAGACATCAGGAATGTAAATTCTCTGGTGAGGAAAGACAAGGAGGTGAGCAGAGCCAGCTCAAGAGAGACGATGTGAAACAGCAAAGCCATGGGAGTGGAATCACCCAAGCCCTTCAGAATTCACATTTCACCTTGACTTGTTGCAGGTGCTGGACACAGAACTACAGAATTTAGTGTTTGCTCTGCTAATTTTTGTTCTTGCTTTGGTCTGATTCCTTTCTATCCCATTTCTCCCTTTTAGAAGAGAAATATTAACAATCTGCCATTGTATGTTGGAAGTACTTAATTTTCTTTTTTATTTTTATAGAGGCTCACAGCTGAGAGTTTACCTTGAGTCTCAGAGGAGATTTTGCATTTGGACTTTTCAGCAATCTTAGAACTGTTAAGACTTTGGCAACTCTTAGAAATGGATTAAATGCATTTTGCGTAATGTGATGTACAAGAGCCTTTTGAGGCCCAGGGGAAGAATATTGTTTAGATCTAAAATGTCACCCTTCTGTTCAAAGCCTTCTGTTCAAAGGTAGGGACTGATTGGAGGGGGTGGATCACTGTGATCATGATGTGAAAGGTTGTATTTTTGTCCCCCCTCTCTCTCTTTATGCTTCTTGGCTGCCTTGATGTAAGCAGCTCTCCTCCACTGCACCCTTCCACCATGCAGCCTCTGGCTCACAGCTAGCCAACCATGGACTCAACCAACAGAAAATATGAGCTAAAATAAATCTTTTCTCCTTTAAATTGCCTGTGTCAGGTGTTTTGTCCCAGCAATGGGAAAATGACTAAGTCATCGTGAGAGCGGTTGGGCCTGCATGGCCAGGAGCCCTCTGCCATTCTCATGTATCTGCTGTGGCTGGATTGTGCCCCATCCCCTAGGAGCTGTAGGTGTCAAACTGAGGGTGGAAAAGTTGGTACATATTGTTGGGGAAGGAGACCTGGAAGTCCCCTCTTCTGCAGGGCCACACTGTCACTTCTACCCTCTTGAGACTTCCCATTTGGAGAGGGTTAAAACATTCTGTCCACCTCCAATGTGCATCTTCACAGTGTCTAGGTGAGTCAGTATAAATGCTTTCCAGTCTGCAGTGAGGCATCCCAAATCCATAGAAGAAAAGAAAACTTTTCACCATGTAAGACTGAGGGCCTTACCAAACGCTCCAAGGAGCTGACTGCAGCGACTAACACCTGGGAAGGAACACACTGGACAAGTTGAAAAATAAAACAGACCTTTATTAGTCTGGCCAGACGGCACTCCCAAAGCAAAGTAGCTAAGAGAGGCAACTGGCTCAGAGTCCGAGGCTGTTCTATAGGGGGTTGAGGGGGAGGTTAACCTGTAGATTTACCAAAAAAAAAACGAACAAAGGTTAGTGGTCGACTGTCACGTACTGATGGTCAGCAGACACATTGATGGATTGTTCTACAGGTAGTGGGCCCGGGAACATTCGTTCTCCGGACAAACAAGGGGTTGAGCAATTTTACTTAGGAACTCTGTTTCGTTACAGATTTTATTATCCCAGAACTAACAAGCACATTTTAACCATTAATTTACAAGTACAATAGAGGCTAGGGGAATAATTGATTTTGGAATCATGCAGTCCCACAACCAAGTGCAGAGGTTCTGAATCCTCAGGATTTTTCCTTTCTTCTTGCTCCCTGCCCCACTCGACAGACATTGGTCTGTAGCCAAAGTCACTGTCTTAGTCACTTTCTCATTGCTGA